AATGGACTTATCTTTTTAAATCAAATTAGGCAGATGTCAACATGGGCAAGTTACATGACACCCTCATTCTCAAAAAACAATGAACAAAACTACACAAAGTAAAGATATCAGACCACGTTAAATACAGGGTGTGCCAACCGCATATATGTTTTGTGTATTATTGCCTGCTGAGAGGATGAAAAATTCAAGAGACATTGATATTCAACAGACCAAACACTCAAACTCAGTCACGCTTCTGCTGTTCAAGCAGTTCTGGGTAATATTAATAAATAATGTTTGGTTTAAAAGACATTTTTGTTGACTTTCGAAAGATCATTTTGGCACTGTTTGGTTGCCTCTTTATGTGTAAAATCTGGGCCTTGAAGGAAACCAGTAGAGAATCACAGCCGTAGTGTATCAACGATACCATTATTAAACCATGGTACATGCGTTTACATGTAATTGGTTACAAAATGTTTATTTAAATAAACACAGAGGTCCTGTTTTTCCTCTCTATCCATCTCATGACTTAAATTGCTAAAATCCTTTTCTTAGCGTATTTTTTGACAGAACGAATCCAACTGCCTTAAAACGTGTTGCCCAGCAACCAAGGCCAGGTTAAGCAAATCTGCTTTCTCTCTGAAATAAGCGAATGAATTTGTCTCAAGGACACATTCCTTTTGTGTTGGTCTTTGAAAGACCTTCCTGTCGAAATACCCATCAGATTCCCCAGATGGTTTACTATAGAGAAAGCCGTGTTTTCATCCAGTTCTCATTTAAATACACTGCATGCTTCAGTTTGTGTCGTTTAACCTGCTGAACTTTGGTGCTCCTGAAAGAAATTGATTGTGTGTGTGTGTTCCCTATTAAGGGACTTTTTTGTGATAACCTTCAACATCACAGACCTGAGCTGCTTTATAAGTGTGTCTGCGGTGTGTTTATATAGGGGTCCTGTGGTGACTTGTAGAGTCTGATTGCTGATATATTTGTGGCTCTAGTGCCTGAGGGCCACACAAATGCCCATCTGGAGAGGCTGACCTGTGAATGTCCCTCTGTCAGCCTGCTAAGAGCCTTATGAATCTTTAATATCATTCCCCCGAAGGGTTAATATGAGCTGCAGCTCACAGTATGCGATTTTTCTGTTGTTGTTTATTGTTTAGTGTTTATTCATTTTTCCTGTCCTCACAGATCTGTTTTTGAGCGTGTGTCTGGAGGCTACGGCTTGTTCAGCTCTTTATCCCACAGGAGAAGGTTTCAGTGTGTTATCACATTGACATTTCTCACCCTTTATGAAAGACTGTTTAGCAGCATGTGTGTTCAAGGCTGCAGAGACGGAGGCTTTAATAGAGGGATGAATCACAGCAGAATTACTCCAGTGCCAATTTTTATTGGGACTGTGATGAACTATTATTATGTGATGTGGGGGTGGGGGGGCTCTCTGTGTGCCTTTAAATAGAAAAAAATTTAAATTCCAATTTTATTTGTGCATTAAAATTGTGTTGTAAATATGAATCCAAACCAAAGATTCAACATTAAACTCACTAAGAAATGTCAGGCTCATATTTCACCTCAAAATGTTTTGTATAAAGAAACTTAATCCTATTTTAGGGCGATTATTTATTTATTTTTTTACATTACAGTATGCTACTGAAAATGGGGTATTGAATATTGATTAATAGTCAATATGCATATGCATACATATTTTCTTCATGCAAATATAATTTATTAGTTGTTTTACGTTTTTTTCCCCATTTAGATTGAAAGCAAAATAGGTCTCATCATCCTCAAATTTCCTCATACACACACGCATCTCAATGTGATTATGGGTTAGTAAGATATTTAATACTAAGCTTCATACTACACTCTTAGGTTTTCATGGAGATGCCATAAAAGAACCATTTAACAGCTGCTAAAAAAGAGCCAGTGGCCTAAAATCTGTTTTATTCTGCATTAAGCAAGGGGCCCCATCACGATGACCAGCTATGGCATGTAATTGTTAATAAACAAAAAACGGGAAGACAAATGAGAGCCAATGCTCATGCGCTAATATTAAGGAAAACGTCACTCTTGCTTGTGTGATATTACTTAAGTATATCATATCTTATAAATATATATATATAAAAAAAAAAAACATACAGGGATATTTTTTACTTTCATACCTTGAATTATATGAGACAATAAATGGCGATTGTTTATTGTATCCGGACAATAAATATCGCACACCCCTAACTGGACGTTCTGGTTTTCAGTCAAATCTTGCCATTTTGTCCAGTATGCATCAGATGGTCAGTGAACAGACTATGGTGGTCCATGAATACACCATCTGAAACTAGTAAAACATTAACAAAATAATTGCTTAGAGCAACTTAAAAAAAAAAGGCTTATTTCCTGTATAAATGTGAATAATTCTTTCGGTGTAGAAACCATCTTGATCGGATAATCTGAGGTAATAATAGATGTTGGGATAAGGCAGTGGACTCCTGAATTTAGACCTCTGGGGAATGTAGGCACATGAAAAAATAATTTACAGGAAATACAGCCTCTCTTCTCAGCGACTCGCACAGCTCTCTGCCTAGAGTTAGCTCCACAGTGGGAACCACAGGTGACAGATAGCTAATAAAAGGGTGTGATTATGGTGCTGGAGCTGTTAAAGGAGTTTGATGGCAGAGGCTTTTTTTTTTTTTTTGCCAAATGTGCTTTCACGAATGCCAGAATTAGGCCTGAAACACTCTTTGCAGACGCAAATGCTTAGCCAATTCATTACAAGCGCACAGTCTTACTAGTAAAAAGACTATGCACAGTTCATGTACTTGCATATGTAATCGTTTCCTCTTGGCTCACTTGGTTCACTCTGAGGGGGTTTGAACTGGCAATAGCCAGGGAGTCTGGCGTGCTAACGAGGATGCTAAAGACCGCAGCCAATAGCATGCCTCTGCAGGAGAGTGAGATTTACTGTACCTGCACAGCTATCTTGTACCAGCTGGCCTCTATTACACTCATATCCACCCGGGTCACGGCACCACTGTAATCAGTTCTACACATTCCGGTTTAAGCCCAGTAACTGGCTTCAAAGTTGGATGTGCTTGGAAGTGCATCCCCTAGCATCACTTCTACAAGCCTTGATGCTTACCTGCAGTTATCTCATTCTAGTTGGCCTCCATTACACAAAAAGTATGTTACGTCAGACTTTGTCAACCTATTTGTGACATACAGTTATGCATTAATCCAGATGCAAAGCAGGCAGTCCCAATCATTCATACAGTCTTGCAATCCTGCGGCGCTAACAAACGTCAGTTTTCAAGGGGGTCAAAGAGTTCAAATGCCTGTGGCCTGTCTACATGCATCTCACCTCCTGAGGGTTGCAATCCAACCAGAGATGCTCAAAATCAATCAAAATCAAAATTCACGTACAATAAATGTCTATCTGTCTTTTTCTGTCTCTCTAGATGCTGCATAATAAACATGTGATGGTGCGAGTTGGCGGAGGCTGGGAGACGTTCGAGAGCTACTTGCTGAAGCATGACCCGTGTCGCATGCTCCAGATATCTCGTGTAGAAGGCAAGATCTCGCCCATCTCCGGCAAATCTCCCAACATCAAAGACCTCGCGCCCGACAGCTACCTGGTAGTGGCGGCCCACTACAAAAGCAAGAAGTAAAGAAGAAATGTTCTGAATAAAACAATGACTTTCAATGTAACATTGAAGTACAGCTCACTGGCCAGCCATTGTAGATGTCACAAGGACACAAGGACTTCCACTGGCTTTTAGAACTAACAAGTGTTTAAAGAGAAAAATCATGATAGTGTAGATCAGCCAGTTTGTGTATAACAAAGATACAGAGGAACCGGAATCCAGAAACAAGGCTGTTTTCTTGTATACCAGTTTCTTTCATTTCTTTTCTTTTAAGTCTCTTTTTGTTTAACTGGTTAAATATAAATTGCGTAATAACCTAATACATTCAGTCATGTCTATACAGAATGAAATCGCTGGATTAATTTAAGTATTCACTTCTGGTGGCTTTTCTTTTTAGCGCTTCTTATATTAACTGTATTAATGATTTTTTTTAATGGGGTATTATTATGTTCTTAGTATGTAAAATTGAGTTACATAATCAGATTACTTTCTTCAAGTATAACTAGTAAAGTAACTCATTACTTTTAAGTTTACACCGAAATATTTGAGTTGCTTTCTCAAATAAGTTGTTTTCCCATTTATTGGCAGCTCTCCTGTCCCTGTGTTGAGAGAAATTGGGAGTGAGGTGCAGAGGCACTTTCTTCAGCCTGAGGCTTAATAATTTCACGTCTGGTGTGAAAGGGCCTTTACAGTTACCAAAAATATAGCTTTTGGGTTTTTTGTTATTAAAAAAATAAAGAAGCAAGCCCAACCCATGTGACAAAAAGTAACGTAATGCATTACTTTCCCTAAAAAGTAACTAAATAATGCAATATTGTAATGCATTAGTTTTAAAGGTAACTTTCCCCAACACTGTTCATGCCAAACATCAGAATAGGAAGAAATGTGATGGAAATGACTATAATCATGGAATGGTGGTTTGAATATCAGAAACTGCTGATCTCCTGAGAGCATTCAGTGAGCGGCAGCTCTGTAGAAGGTCAAAGGAGAATGACCAGACTGGAAAACTTGGATCGCAACATCAGTGCAAGGCAGAAGAACATGTCTGAATGGACATCAATCGATCTCCTGAAGTCAGCCAAGCACAGGAAACTCTTATCATGAGTTCAGTGTAATCCAGTGGTCTCCACAGACAATAACTCAGTCCAATAGAGCACCTTTGGCATTGGGTGTAATGGCACATTCATAGCAAGAATGTCCAACCAACAAATCTGCATTGACTGCTTGATTTCTAGTTAACAAGTACCAGACTCTCTAAGGACTTTTTCCAGTAATAAAGTGAGCACTGTGCGAGTTATTTGCAGTACAGTATTGCACTGAAGAGGTTTGAGTACCTCAGTTACAAGACAAAAGAGATTTTTCAGTTTTGCAACAAATAGTAACAAATACTTGGCTGTTCAATCAAACACACTCTTTATTTAAGCAATGCCTCCTTGCAGTTGTGGTTCTAAAACAGTTCCTGATCTGAAAGTGTGCCACTGTCCTCTACTGGTAAGCATGAACATTGCAAAACTCTGATGTATTGTATTATTGTTATACAGTGTCTGTATGTTAATAATCCATTCTGAATGAACCCTGGGAAGATATTTCACTTGATAATTTGGTGCAAATCTGTTTCCCTGTCACAAGCATTGAGTGAGTAGCTATAGGCAGAGGTAATAACTCATGAGCATAACATAAAATAAATGCATCAAAGGCAATATGTAGAGTTCACTCAGAGTTCCTAGAGATAAAGTGTATTCCACACTGTTCACTATAGCTCAGGCTGCTACAGTCACTGCTGCACGGCCCAACACATGGATGCTGAGTTTTAATGTGATAAGTTAAGATTTTCTTAACTTAAGACAACCAAAGCCCTTCAGAAAGGGTGAGAAACTAATGTGTCTGAGAAGATAAAGTGATGCACATTCAATTTGGTTCATAAGAACAGCAAGTCATACAATCAACAGGCAGTGAAAGTGCTAACTGACATAATATCCTTCAATATTCTTCATTATTATTATACTTCAAGTCCTGACAAATCGCTAAACACTATGAGCTTACAACCAAAACACACTGGTAACTGATGCATAAATATAAATGGCTAAATATGTATTAAATTATCCAAAATCCAATATAAAACATGCTTTTCAGTTGTATAAATGTGTATTAAAATGACATTCAGTTCTTGATCAATGTCAAAAATAGAAAGGACATTGGTACAAAAGCTGCATGTGTGAAATGATGCATAAACATAAACTGAATAAGTTGTGGGAAAAAAACATTAATTGCTAAAAGCACTATCCCAGAAATCCAATAGCTTGCCCACCTTGGCATTTAAAGGGGTGTGGCCTGAATGCACTCTGGCCAATCAGAAGGCCTGGAGGATTAGAAGTTTTGTGCGGGAGCTTGACAAAAATTCTAGTCTCTATGCAAACTCCCCTTGCTAGTGTACATTTCAAAATAAGAACCGAAAGAACAAGTCAGCGGGAAATGACCAGTGATCTTCTCTTCAGCCTGTGTTAGCCAACCTGCCACTGGAGAGAAAGAGAGAGAAAATAATACAAATAAATACAATCTGGATTTATCATGTGCAATGTAAAAGTAATCATACTGCTCTTCATGAGTTTGAAACAAAGTAGTTTCGCTTTCACAACGAAACACAGCGTCACACACGAGAGTGAGCTAGAGTGAGCGGAGGCCGGTGGTCTTGAGAACGGCGCTTCCGGAGGGCTTGCGGCAACCACATGTCACGACCCACTACAGCGAGAATAAAAGTTACGCCTTCTTTCTTTGCGTGAACATTTGGCCGGCGTTTGGATTTGAGACTTTAGTCTTTGCAACTTTACAGATCTTCTTTATGCACCAAGAGCTTGTAACACTCCAAAGAGAAAGGAAAAATTGAAATCGCATCATGTGACCCCTTTAACATCAAATATCAATGAAAGAAGAAACTTAACCTTTAGAAAATGCTGTCCGGCTCAGAAGGTCAAACCAAATATTATATGAAATATTTTCTATGTATTTTATATGAGGTTTGCAAGTTTGTTACCTGTACCTACATTCAACTCTATCTAATTATATATCATATAAATGTTTGTTCTGTTGGGTGGGTTGTAGGATTGTTTATTATTATTAGTTTTTTAATAGCTATGATATGTTGTTTTAATTAAACCAATAAAATACTTTACATAATAAAATAAGATGTTTTAGTGTTTTTGAAATAAGCCTTCTATGTTCACCGAGGCTACATTTGTTTCATTAAAAAAACAGTAATATTGTGAAATATAATTAAAACTTTAATATTATAGTCTTCAGTGTCTATTATAGTCTTCTAACATGCTGATTTAGTGCTCTATAAACATTTATTATAATCTATATGTTATATATTATATTCTTATTATTATCCATATCTTATATGTTGAAAATAGATGTGCTGCTTAATATTTTTGTGTAAACTGTAATTGTTTTTTTTTCAGGCTTCTTTGATTAATAAAACCTATTTATTTGAAATATTTTGTTAATTTCATACATGCCTGCTGAATAAAAAAAATATTGATTTTAAATTTAAAAAAAAATAACTGACCCAAAATATTTGAACGGTAGTGTATTTTTTTTTTCTGAAGTGCTATTGATTCATGCATCAAAATGGAATCATAACTGCATTTTGTATAATAAAAGAAAGAAAGAAAAAGATAAATTCAAAGGTCATGACCTCTGAAGTGGGACAACTGATACAGACTTTTGATAAAAACCTATTTTCATGCTAGATGGTAGTTTAACATACTCTTAAGTATCTTAATTACATATTAAATATTAAATATTAAATAAATAATAATAATAATAACAGGACACCAATTTGTCCTCTATTTGTGGAAAATGTAAATACTGTATGTACCTTTAGCCCGCCGCCTTCAGAAGGTACAGAGTTCATAGTCTGTTTCTCTGTCTCTTCTTGTTTCTTCTTTTTCCTCTCCAAGGCTTCTGGGTTTTTGATACCTCTGTAGGTGATCTACACACAGATCAGACAAAATACAGCTGCCACACCATACATGTTCCCATATTCAGTGGGAGCAACAGCACATTTCAGAAATGAATCCAAACATTAGTTAACAACTAGTCCAGTGTGTGATATTAATCAGTGCTCACGTGCAGAATCATGCTGCACCGTAGACAAGCTGGAAATGTGAGTACAGAGTGTGCAAAAACTAAAACTCATCGCATCCACACTGAAATATAACTGCCCTGATCAACTAGCCAACATGCTAACATGTCATTACATCATACAGGTGAATCTGACAAAACCTGACATAAATCAAAATAAATATTTTACTAAACAGATTTTCCCAACAAGTTCTCATTGCCATAATGAGTCTGGCCAATTTACTAAAAAAAATCTAATGATTGCAAAACAATAATGATTTTCAATACTATTAAACTCTACAGATGTAATGGGACTCTGTAAATGATAATGACGAAACACTATCATGTTCACCATTACGTTAGCAGAAAAAAGAGCTGTATGGCTACAAGCACTGTGACATTACAGCAGCAGTGAGAATCCAGCTCATTCTGACATCACACAAATGCCTGTCGTGGTGTTTCAGCTGCAGAGTGTCTGTGGACACAGCAGAATGAGGATGTGTACTTACCGTGCCACTTTAGCACCTCTATGCTTTGCCTTAAACCTCTAAGAGACAGTAAAATGGCCCAGCAATCACATGTGTGCAAATTAAAATCACTATTCCATAAATCACTGGTTTAAAAAGGATCTCAAAATGTGAGGATCATTGTTTTGTTGTCCTAATAGAGCAGGAGGAGCCCAGCTGGACCCAGGCCACAGCCATAATGTCATCCCACGGTGGAGCAGACGGATGGAGGAGCCATGGAGGAGGAATGGACACAGACTCCAGGGGGCTGACCAACGGCGGCGGAGCAGGTGGCGGAGGAGCCCGAGGCGGAGCCGGAAGAGTGGAGTCCCGAGGCGACGGAAGGTCGAAGGAAGGTCGTGGCGGGTCGACGCCTGACCAAGGCGGGACGAGGGAGCCCGGTGGAGCTGGTGGATCGACGGGTGACGGTGGAGGTGAGGGAGCTAGGAGCCGAGGTGGAGCTGCTGGGTCTACGGGCGGAGGCGGAGTTCGGGCCTCGGAGGCTGGAGACGGAGGTGAGGGATTCTCCAGCTATGGCGACGCTGGAGGATGGCAGACCCACGGAGCTCACACCGTAATGATGGTGGGCTGAGGGCGAGCAGAGGGGCTGCCAGATGACAGCGGTGAAGGAGGCAGGAGCTGGTGGGAGGCCGGGCATTTGTGAGTCTCCGGGCATTCAGGGCTTAACTCTGGATCAGAAGCCCCCTCTAGGCTGAACCCGGGAAAAGGATGGCGCTCAGGAGGAGCGGACAATTGAGGGCGCTTACGAGGAGCTGGTACTGGAGGGCGCTTTCTAGGCGCGGGCACTGGAGGACGCTCTGGACTGGATTCGGGGACTGGAGCCCTCTCCTCTTCGGTTTGGCACTTTCGCCGCACCATACTCAGCTCACCCTCAGCCGCGGTGCAGGGGGCGGAGCTCCTCTCCGCGCTCACACCGTCCGCGGCTTTCTCCCTCGTGGCGGGCATTGTCGCCGGCTCTCGCACCTGGTCTGACGAGTTGAGCTCTACGTCCGCGGCGATCCTTTGCTCTGCCGCTCGGCTTTGCGCTGGCTCGCTGATCACGGCGGGAATTGGCTCTCCGTCATCGGTGGGCTCGGGCTGATGCTCCGCACCGCAGGGAGATGGTGGGCTGGGCACTGGGTCCGGAGTGGATCTGACGAGATCATCCACGGGGCTGGATGGCGATCCGTTTCTCGCCAGAGTCCACTCCACTAAGGCAGC